CAATTAGATCAATAAAGAAAAGGCTTACTGCATGAAACTCCAACAGAGCAAAGAGACAGTGAAATGAAAGCTGGAATGTGAAATGAGGCTAAGTGCTCCATTCCTGCCATCATAAATGCCTAGCTGAGGACATCACAGAAAGTACTGTCATAGATCAGCAGACTTTATGATTCCATTTAAATACTATTATAATAATCATTTATTTTGCCGTCATTTTAGCTAATATTTTAGTTATAAGCATATTTATACGCAAATATACACATAAATATGCTGAATTTACTTTACTTGGTGCATATGGAAAAGCAACTAGATTCTATCACAAAACATATTACTACATCATAAAATTTTCTTAAACAAATCTTGGGTATCAATTCTGACACCCTGTATAATGAATAGTAATAGCAAAATTGTCTGTGTAACAAACTTAATCTAATGTCCAAAAATCCTCACAATAATTATAGAGACAGGGTCTCCCTGTAGCCCCAGCTGGCCTGTAATTCACTTTGTAGACCAGGATGGCCTCAAACTCAGAGATCCGCCTGCCTCTGCCTCCCAAGTGCTGGGATTACAGCATGAGCCACCATGCCCGGCTAAGTCAAATGTTTTTAAAAATCCAATTTATGTAATTGTCTGTATCTGCAGTAAAAATTTAAAACATCTAATGTATCAGGTAGGAGACAATCACATGTATAAGTTTTAATTTCTCTTTTTAAGATCAAAGCCTTTAGCTGCCCAACTAATCTTTGTAAAGACTAAAAGGAAAATTTGTTTTTGTTTTCTAATTAAGAAGTTGGAGGTTTGAATTATTCCCAGAGAACGTGATTTTAATAAAACAGGCAGAGAACTCTTTTTAAAACTATCAAAAATGAAGTGGAAGCTGGGCATAGTAAACCATGTTTATAATCCCCACACTCACATTCAGGAGAAGCAGGAAAATCCAGGGTTCAAGGCCAGCCTGGGCTATACAGCAAGCTCTTGTTTCAAAAAAGAAAATCAAAACCACGGTCTGTAACCCACTAACCCATACCACTGTTTATTTTTTTCTGTATGCATTCACAAATTTCTATTCTGTCAAAAGTAAAGACAAAGATGGTTGATGACCAGAAGGAAACAGATTTCTGTAAGCAATTTCATAATCAGGCTTATGTTATAGAAATGTTTTGGTAAATCTATTTATGCTTCAATAATTAGAAAAGTTTATTGTTCATGACAGAAATTGCATTTACCTTTAAAATAATACAGCACTTTTAAAAGTCCACTTAAAGAAGAAACTTTCATAGAAAAAAATGAATTCGTTGGCCTAATTATGAGATTGTTTAGTGGTTGTGTTTCAGGGTCTATCACTCAAATCAACCAACCAATCAATCAATCCAACCAAGAGGAAAACAAATTCAAAAAGTCTGATACCTGGCCCTACCCTAGTTCGCAGATACAAGTCTAGTGTAGACTATCTGTAGGTGACGGACTTTCTACAATTTCTAGAGCTCTGATGAGAGAGAGGAAAGGGGAAGATAAAAGAAAAGACAAAAGCCTAGATGGTCTGTCTTCACAACGATGTGAGAAATGAGGATACAGAATTACATTTTTAAGGTTAAGGAAATTTCAGAAGTAATATACTCAAAAGATCAAGAGGGTACTAATATACTCAAAGATCAAGAGGATAATAATATCTTACAGAAGGCTAATTATGATCAGAAAGATGCAGTTTTATTATATTCAGATTCTACAAGATTAGTAATGTAAATTATTTCTACAGCTTCTTTCTACAACTTCTATTCTTTTCTTTCACCTCAGTCATCTCTTTAATTACCAAAATTCACCATTGTACAAGAGTGGTTGGTTGTTAAATGCCTATGAAGATTAGTACTGAACTAAGACTGGGATAGAGACTTATCCACAGTTTTATTTTCTACTTTTTAAAAAGTGTTGGTGGTACTAAGGGACTGAAACCAGACTCTTGTGTGCCAAGCAGGCACTAAACCACTCAGCTACCTCCTACATCCTCCAAAACCTGATCTTGGAGGAGGAACTTTTCCTATCTATATCTCTTATTTCTGAAAACATAAAATGAACACCATATTGTAAAATTTTTAAAAATTATAATTGCTTGTCCAACAGTATTTCTGATCTATTCTCAGAGCCCTTATTACCCATGGCCTCCTAAGATATTCTGTATATATAATATATGAAAATGAGAAATAGTCACTTCTAAAGAGAAAACTTTTCTTTCATTCATTCATGCATTCATTCATTCATTTATGAGACACGATTTCTATATAGCCAAGGCTGACCATGATCTCACAATCCTCTTGCTTCATCTTCCACAGTGCTGGGATTTTAGGCATGCATCATTCCACTGGCTAAACTGAAAATTCTGACAGTTAAACTTGGATCCACTAGATCAAAAAAAAAAAAAAATTCTGTTCTGTAATTCTACTGTTAACTAGAAAAATAGGTCAATAATATATTGAGAAAACTTAGATTCAAATTTCTATAGAGGGGATAAAAAGATGGGTCAGTTGGTAAATTGCCTGCACATAAGCATGAGGACCTAAGTTCCCCCAGAATAAACTGGGTGCATTTATTTGTAACCCTAGCACAGTCCAGGAGAGGCACTGTGGTAGTACAGCAAGACAGGCAGATCCCCAGAGTATGGTGGTCAGTCTAGCCAATCTGTGAGCACAAAGGTTTGGTAAGAGACCTTATCTCAAAAAATAAAGTAGACCACAATTGACGAAAATACCTGACATCAAGCTCTGACCACTCCCCCCAAGTATGTGTATACACATACACTATACACACATGTATATACACAGAGACACACATGAAATTTGTCTTAGATCAATTTTGTTTATGGACAATACCATAAAAAGTTAATATTAAAGTTGCTAAGTAGTTCTTCAAATAAATACTTATCCACAACTAATGCTTAGGCTCAAACATAAAACTCAGTTTTAATAAATGATACATCTTTATAATTAACTTCAACAGCATTAGTCTACATCATCTTCCTTTAGTATATATGATTTTCAGACAGTTTTGATATACTGTGAAACAATTTCTAATCGAACTGGGATGCTTGTCACTAGAAGCAGACTAAGGAATCTCTACTAGGAAAGGTACTTGAAAGTGTGTGCCTTCTTTTTGTAGTCATGTGACCCAATGACTATTTAAAGTAACTGTCTCAAATGCTGAACCTGTTTCTCTTTGGACTCTACCTTAGAAAATACGAGCATATGAACTTCAATAAGAGATTTTATCCATTTTTTATCCTAAAAGAACCACTGGTATTAGAGGATGTTATTCACTACTGTGAGAATCACCAAATACACTATTAAGTCAGCTTGAGTCCATCATTGATTCTATAAAAATGACATGGGCAAGCCATTAAAGTGACAAAACTTCCATTTCCTACAGAAGGTAGATTTTATGAAAATGAATCACATAGACTGTATATGTAACCAAATGCCAGTTCAGCAAATTCATAAAAACTAGACTCAAAGCTAAGAAGTGTCTTATTATTCAAAATCCCACATGGTTTCTTTACGACTGGCATCTTATTATGAAAATCTACTTCATATAGCCACTGGCGGTGCTTCTGGGCCAGGTGTTGTACAAAAAACTCCACAATCACAGGGCCATTTGGAGTTTTTAAATATTAAGGCTCAGATAGATCACAGACATAAAGGTAAAATAAAGTCCAAAAACAGACATAAAGTGAAATTTTCCTTCCTATGTTAAGGCCAATCAGCCCAATCATCATGCTTCTCAAACTGGTCTTGACTTGGAGAACTAATAACAGAACAAAGAGAAAAGAGGGTGGCACTGACGTCACAGCCACTTATCTGGACCCAGGCACAGAGATGGGAACTGGAGTCACAGAAAGGAATGAAAGCTGATTTTAAAAGGACAGAATACTAAAATAAAACTGCTTCTCAAATCTAATCAAGACTTCAGATTACTTAGGATCCTGGTAAATCATTTGACCATAAAGCCTTCAAAACAATTTTAAAATTTTAATGAATTTTAATATACCATTCGCTTCTTTGAAATATTTTGTTAAATATACCCCCTGTTCTTTTGTGATATAACTGCTGCTACAGGAGATTTCAAAGAACCTAGACACCTCATGCATCTCTCCTCCAGTGTCCAACGCTAATATCTTACACAGTTCTAGCACAAAACCAACAAACTGACTCTGATAGAATACACATGGCATGGAAGTATATAGGGTAGGTCTATGAAATATCTTCCCTCAGAGCCTTGAGCATCATAACCACCATCAAGACTCTCAACTATGTATTATAAGATTGTCCATGTTACCTTTGTAGACATTTAGCTTTCCAAAGAAATTGCTAACAAAAGCTGGTGAATCTGCCGTCATATTTAAGCTATCATACCAAAAGTACACACTTCAAGTAACAAGGAAAAGAAAATAACTAGAAATGTGCTATTTTAGTACTAAATGAAGCCATAGTTAAGAAAAACACAGTGATGCTGGGCAAGGTAGAAGGTAGCTCTGAGGGTGCTGGTATTTGTCAACAAGAGAGAAATGGGAGGCTGAGGAAACAGTCTCTGTAATCACCCAGATCAGGAAGAATGAGAATATCCAAATTTCTCAACAGCTGCCTTAAATGACTGAGCACCCAAGAGATCTGAAGGACATTATGAAAGCAATATTCAAGAAATATTAATAGGAGAGTAATAAACAAATTTCACTTCATAAACTTGTGCAATTGATTTAAAACATAAGCATACTTTGCTAAATATATCATTTAACATAGTATGGCTCATTTTGGCTTCAGTGCATTTACTCTTTATTAAAATAGTTGATATTACAGAATAAAACTACTTTAAAAAATCAGAACATATTTATGCACATTCACTAAAAATATTTAAATGGTACTAATGCTAAGTGAATGTCTTTCAAAACAGCAACTAACAGAGAAGGATCAGGATACACTAACTAGCCTCATAGTTCTCCCAAATCTAGTACTTACAGTCAAATGTTAGGATCCAGCATCCATTGAGAATCCCAAGCATACACTTCAAAGTACTTTGGGCTTCTTCATCAGGAACAATGACATGAGTTACTAAAACACAAAGCAAGAAAAACAAACATAAACAAAAATAATTCTCTGAACTATTTTTATAACCACTTATCTATTTTAATTTTTTTAATATTTATTTGTTTTATATGTATGTTTTGCCTGCACATATGTATGTGCACCAATTGTATATAATGTCCATAGAGGCCAGAAGAGGGCATCAGATGCCCTGGAACTGGAGTTATGGTCAGTTATTAGCTATCATATGGGTGCTAGGAACCAAACCTGGGTCCTCTGCAAGAGTAATCAGTGCTCTAACTGCTGAGCTATGTCTCCAGCCCCCAGTAGTCTATTTTATTAACTTAAACTTGAATTTTCTTCAGAAATAATTTTTACACCTTAAATATTCTTTTATTTAGTATTTTATAACTGCCTCCAATAGAGTTAAATTCAAACTTGGTCTACACTACACAAAAAGTTATTATTAACAAACCCATCTGTCCATCTCACATGGTTTTGTCCTAAAATAGTTTAAGGTTTTAACTTAACATTTCCTATTGCAGATGTGGTTCAATGATAAAGTAGTGCTTAGATGTACAAGCCCCCTGGGTCCTCTCCCCAGGTACTTAAAAAACAAGTAAGCAAATAAATCATTTTATGCTTCTTAAGTATACTAAACCTATAAACTACACAAACATTTTATATTACAAAATGCCAAATATATAACCATATCCCTAGGTTAAAACATAAGTAAATTATCAAAGGTAGTTCTCCAAAGGATTTACTAATCTTAATTTTTGTTTTCCAAAGAATTAAATAGAAATAAGAATCCTTACCTGTACTGTCAAACTCAGCACATTTTTTAGCTTTAAGAATTGTGGCAAGTTTGCTGAGCATTTTCTGTTGTTCTGAAGAAAGCCCACTGCCTGTAAGTATCAACGGCCGTCCACTCTTTCGCTGCGTATTCACCTGTTATTGAAAAACGGGGAGTCGCCACGGTAAAAATATGTGAAGACCACAAAGAGAAGCAACCCACCTTCACCAGAGAGAAGCTTTAATTTTAGTAATCACCTTACTCCACAATAGTTCTCAATGATTTCTATTGAATCTCCACCCAGAACTTTGATGCTCGGTGCATTTGAATAATCATTTTCAATTTCTTTCTTTTCCTCCCAAGTAAATGTCAACTAGAATAGCTCTCTCTACCCAGGGAATCTTGTTTAGATGATGTTAAATTGGATCTCTGTAGGGTTTCATAACTGCATTCTGTCACTAGTAAACCCTTTTCTCCCCAAGTAATCTAATAGCCACTTAAAATGGCCAATTTTCTATCCCTCCTCCAATAACTGCCTCCAATAGAGTTAAATTCAAACTTGGTCTATTTAAACTAAGATTATTTTGAAAAAGAACACTAACTCCAAAGAAAGAAAACAATTTTTTACCATTAAAACAAAAAAGATGAAATGGGCAGGACAGTGGAAATTTAGGAGAGAAACTCCACACACAGGAAGAAGTCCTTGCTACTCGTGAGAAGGAAAAACGCTAACCATCAGAAGTGTGCTTTTTCACTACAACATCTAAACTCGGATCTTACAGGAGACAGGAAAAAAAAAGGGAGAGAGAAGGCTCCAGTGGACAGCATGAAAGATCAGAAGTGAAGAGGCAGAGGCACGATGACACAGTGGCTGTAAGCACAGCCAAAGTCTTTAATAAACAGAACTGAGAGGAGAGAGAAATGCTGCCTGGCAAAAGAGAAGTTATGATCCCAGTGGAGAAGAAAAGGCAAACCAGAACTACTGCATCGAAGCACAAGATGTCAAATCAATACTCTTCACACAAGACATGGGCTTTGTGTGCACTGACAGTTGGGCTTTCCAAAGAGCACGAAGGAAACAACAGAGGCAGAGCCACCACTGGAGCTCAGCAACTTGTAAGAGAAAGCTAGTACTCAAATATTCACATTAGAACAGTGAGGATTCACTCAGACTCCCTATATATATTACATGGAAATTGGTGGCTGAGCTCAATAATTCATTCACTCAAGACAAATTCTGTGTATGTATTAAGCAAGCTCACAGAAGAAATTAAAAAAATTCTCATAAGAAGTTTTTTAAACAACTATGCTTGGCACTTAAAAGTTCAGCTCACTAAATTATTTCTTTAAGGTTCTGACAGCAAAGGTTGACTGGACATACACACAGATAACGAACATAATTATAATCACATTTCCATATAAATACCTTTTCTAGTCTCTATAATATCACTATTCAAGCAGTATAAGTACTCCATAACATAGTTTTAGAAATTGTTCAATTACAATATTAAGAAACAATTGTCAAAAAATTCTTGTCAGTTAAATAAGTGCTATTAAAAATATCTCTGTAGAGAATACATTGCCTCTCAATTTACATGACTCCAGTTTAGCTAAATAGTGCTTTGCATAAAATTCAAGTGTGAAAATACATCATTTCTAAATATAGCATATGACAGTATCTGTGCCAACCAAGGAAAGCACCAAAGTGGGTGAAGTATTTTCTATCAGTTTTTAATTTGCACAAAAAATTAAAACTGGGGGGCTGGAGAGATGGCTCAGCAGTTAAGAACACTGGTTGTTCTTGCAGAAGACCCAGGTTCGAATCCCAGCACCCATATGGCAGCTAACAACTGTCCATAACTCCAGTCCCAGGGGATCCGACAGCCTCTTCTGACCTCTGCAGGCATTGCACGACACAAGTGCACTTACCTACATGCAGGCAATACACGCATACATATAAAATAAAAATAACATAAAATTTTTTTTAAAAACTGGTACTAATTTTTCAGTTATGGAATGCTATAATAAAACAAAAAGCAAACAGCTCCTAAAGTCATATGTCTGATTTGGGATGGTCCTGCATGGGGGTTGAGAGTTTAAGTCTGGCAAGAAAGGATCCCGAGACCATGATACTCATATATGGCTAAAAAAACACCCATAGGGTTTAATACACAAATTTCATAAAGATTAGAGATCATGTGCCTTGGCATTATCTCCTATTTAAATTCAATGTAGTACTTCTCTTAAAATTATTAAGTTATTCTCAATAAATTTTTCCGACTAGTGGGGTTATAGAATCTGGAAATAGGGATAGCAAGATGGCTCAGCAGGTAAAAGCACTTGTAGCCTGCCTGAGGTCCTGAGTTTGATCCCCAGGGCCCAAGTGGTAAAAGAAGAGAGCCAGCCCCTACATACTGTCCTTTGGCTTCCACATGTGTGACATACATACAAATAAATAATTTAAAGATGTATTAAGAATTTGGAAAGAATGAAAAGGATAAACATATGCTTTAAGGGACCAAAGGCAGAGAAGTCCCAAAATGAACCATGCAAAGACCTCTTTGTTTAACTACAGCTTGCTTCTCAACATCAAAGCAGCACCTAAGCTTTACTTGAAACAATTCTGAATGAGACGTAGAGGGATTCAACCTCGCCTACTTCTCACGCTCCCTTCCACTTCCAAGCTGCACAGCTTCAGTTGTCACCTTGATACACCTGGGAAGAAAGAACCTCAACTGGCGAGCTGCATCCATAGACTGACCTGTAGGCATGTCTGTGAGGCATTTTCTTGACTGTTGAACGATGTGAGGAGGGCCCAGCCCACTGTGGGTAGTTATACCCCTGGACCAAATAAACTGGCCAGGCATGGTGGCGCACGCCTTTAATCCCAGCACTCGGGAGGCAGAGGCAGGGGAATCTCTGTGAGTTCAAGGCCAGCCTGGTCTACATAGTTGAGTTCCAGGACAGCTGGGGCTACAGGAAGACCCTGTCTCAAAAAGACAAAAAAAAAACAAAAAAAAACAACAATCAAATAAACCCTTTCCTCCCCAAATTTATTTTGGTTTTATCATAACAACTGAAAGCAGACTAGAACACCTTCTGCACACCCCCTAAAGCAGCTTCTCAGTATAGTTTACAACACACTGATACAAATTTTCCAGACTGGGATACCACACACCCGCAGGTAACTGGGGGAGACCAGTAAGCACCACACCTGTCACACTCATGCTTGACTGACTCCTCATGTACTCAATGTGCATGTAACTGAGCACCCAGGAATTGTCACACTCCTCTGCCTGCCAGACCTGCTACAGTAAACATGTCCCTACCCTCAACAGAATTTATATTCTAGTAGGGAAGAGAAAATAAACTAAAATAAGAACATCTGAAGTCAACTGATCAATGTGTGGTAAAAGAGAGCAGAGGGTGGGAGGGATGAGTGGCACTGGAACACTGGTAGTTTAAAGAGTGGTCATGGTGTCATACAGCTCTAAAGCCAGAATTCTTGAGGCAGAAACAGGTGGCTTGCAAATTCAGGGCCAGATTGGGCAATATACTGAGATCCAAGCTAGCCTGGGTTACAATGTGAGAGCCTATCCAAAACAAGAAAGACAAATGATGATAAAAAGCCATGCCACATGTCACACAGAAAGTGTGTGTTACTTAGATTTCACAATCAAAATGCTTTTCTCAAGGGCACTACTATACTGCCTCTAAGAATACCACAGAGACAGCTATATTTATAACACATTTAAAATAATCCTTCCCCAGCTTTTACATTAAAAAAATGACAACTTAGATATGCTATGTTCTGCCAAGAGATTTCAAGTACAAATGAAGAAAACAAGTACCAATTTATAGTGTGGTGGAACTGAATGAGAACTGACCTAAGACTGAAGAAATCTGAGTTCTAACTGCTCCATTAAAAAAAAATTTTTTTTTAATGTCTGGTTAATAATCATGGGCAAATCACAACCTCTCCAGGTTTCAGTTTTCTCATTCATAAAGGAGGAAATTAAAGTACTGACTTCTAGGCCCTCTTCATTTCTAAAACTGTAATCTGGAACACATTTATCAGACTGTAGTCTAAAACAAAAGATAAAAAGGTTTTCAAGGTATAAAGGTTACTTGATATGATGGGACCCATGACCACATCGAAGTCTAATGATCTCAGGCTAAATCAGTAACTTAAACCATGGCGTCAGTCCCTACTGCTCTGCTCTTAACAGGCATACGGGCTCCACAGAATGATCCTTGCCTCAGCACAGCCTGCTTCCCCTTTTTGAACAACTGCGAAGTTACGGTGCATCTGTCCGTCTGTGTCTCTTTTCTGCATTCTCACACCACCTGTAATTCCAGACCTCCCTATTCTATGCTTAGACTCTACTACAGTAGCCTCCCAGTCAGCCTCAGTCTCTTCTGACTCCTAGATTATCTTGATCCAGGTACAAACACACTGATGCTGTCCCATGAAATCCAAAGTCCTATCAGGGAAACCAAGGCCTTTCATAGGCTGATCCAAAGAGTCCTTACCCCTAAATCCACGTGAACATTCCTTATACTCCTCACGTTTTTGTTTGGAAGCCTTTTTATAACTTCTTTCCTCTGAGCAGCTGTGCCCCCGATGTGGACTGACTTCTCCACTGCTCTTAAACACTAGATGGGGTCAATGCTGGCTTTCCACACAACTCATTCCTACCGACAGAAGTCTGATGTTGTTCAGGTAACTGCCCTTCAAAGTCTGTCCCTATCTCTGAATATGGCAAAACCAATTTGCAGCTAGTTCTAATCAATAAAATACATGAGAAATAGTAAACATAGTAAATAAAGGCTCCTAGGAGAGGCCTTTCATGCCTCTTTTTCAGCTGGCCACTTTCACATCTGGAATTGTAGCAATCATCCTACAGCCACAAGGAAACATGGGTAAAAACACAGCCACCAAATCAAGGATGACAAGTAAAAGAAAAGAACTTGGGTTCTCAGTATAGTCACAACTGCCAATTAAGCCAGGTGCACAGCTAGTCTACATTAGGATTCTCTTTAATAAATTGTCTTTAAGCCCCTAAGTTTTCTTTGCAACAGCATTTTATTAGATACCCTCCTAAGTCTCATAACCTCAAAGACACCTTCTCTGTGAATTCCTTCTTGAGGCCTCCTGAAGCAAACGTCTTCCTTGAATCCACTGTACATCTTATAGCTTCTATGATAAATATGTTACAATGTATATAAATCCATTATTTCTATACTCCACTAAGCTATGGGTTCCAAAGGAACGCCTTCTTTCCACTCACTGCATCTCTCACTTCTACCTTTCTTTTAATCCACGGGCTCATGTATACTCCTACCTATTCAACATCTCCATCAACAGACAAAGTGGGCCCAGAGGACTAAGGATTCCCATTCCCATGCTAACAAATGGCACCACCATCTACTGTCTCCAGTCATACCAATTCTACTCATTTCTTCTTCCTCTTAGAAAATTTTGTTGGGAAAAATGTGAACTTCTCTACTTCTTATAAGCCTTCAATGCTACTCACTTAGTTCAGGTCATGTTGGCATGACTGTCACAATACTAAATGAGATCTCTTTCACGCTTGCTCACACCCCACAGTCCACGGTTAGTAAAGAAAAGTGAATGCTCAAAACCAAAATTTAACTTCTACCATTCCTGCACTTGGAATCTTTTAATGGTTTCCCATTCTCAGACACTCACTGTGTCTCCAGCCATAATTAATTTTCCGTAATCTTGAAACATGATCAATTCATCTACTTGAGGGCTTCTACACTGTGCTCACCAGGAGGCCACCTGGGCGCTTCCCCTAAGAATTAAACTTTTAGTACAAATCAGAATCCACAGCCCTAGCTAATGTACAGACCTTCAGGAGCCTTCCCCCTTTACCCAGTCACACTCCACAAAGCCATCCTCAAAGCACTAATCTACACACTCCTGAAATTATTTGGCTTACTATCAGTCTACATATTCACAGTCCTTTTCCTTTGCACCTCTCACTAGCAGAAAACTTCCACAAAGAGTTGTGTCAGTCATAGCCACTACTGTCTGAATGCTGCCTAAAATACACTAAGTTCAATAAACATTTCTTGATGGTCTTATTCTAATTACATCTTTGAATCCACAGTATCAAGTACTCAGGAAATGTTCAATATTGGTGAATGGAAGCAATCTGCTAACTGGAAATTTTTCTATTATGTGCCTTTCATAACCAAGTTCAGTAAAAGATACAAATGTCCTGAAGCTAAACCCGTACTTACGACTGAGCAATGGTTAGTTGAGGATGATTCATTCTTCTCTGGTATCAGCAATAATGATTTTATATTTTCATTGTCTGTACAATCCACAGGTCGTATACCAAATATGTTACTGGAAAACAAGTGCAAATGGTTTATGTAAATAAGATGTTCAATTTCATTCTTAACAAAGTAGATGCACTACTAGAACAACTTTTCAACCTCCTCAATGATACACAATTTTAACTAAATAAATGATCCATAATTCACATTAGGCACAAGGATTAGTATCAAAATCTGCTGAACTCAGTGAAGGAAAAAGTTGTAAAACTTCATTTTGAGTGAAATCATTCTAGGGAGTATCTTTAATCAAGTATAACTTACATGTGAATTTTTTTCACAGTTCTGTATTCTTTGCATTCATATTCATATTTTAAAAATGATCTCCTAATTATTAATTGCCATGAATGAGATGTTTCATGTACAATTATAAATCATTTACTGAAGCTGTTATTAGTGCTATTATCTCTTCTAACAAAGACAAAATTACTCACAGGAAAGCCATTTAGATCCTTTAGAAGGAATACTACAGACAAACAATTCAATAAAGTAGTGAACAGGGCAGGTTAAAAGTATGTGTGTGTGTGTATATATATATATATATATGCACACTTCAGTCTTTTATATATATATAATATACA